GTGGGTTATGGGTTGCTCCACAGGGCCCTGGACAGATACAGATATTCTTTGACTTACAATGGGATTATGTTCCAATAAACCCATGGTAAATCAAAAACATTCTAAGTGAAAAACACATTTAATACCCAGATAAAGCCAAAATAAAATTAAAAAAATCAGAAGTCAAACCACTTGGGACCATCTGTATACCTAAGATACGTATGAGAGTGTTAATAGCAGCTTTATTCAAAATAGTGAAAAATTGGAAACGATCTGAATGCCCATGAATAGGAAAATGGACAAATCAATTGTGGTATATTTATACAGTGAAGTACTACCCAAGAAAGAATGAAATACTGTTACACACAACCACGTGGGTGAGTCTCGCAGACATAATGTTAAGAGAAAGAAGCCAGATACAAAAGAGTATGTATCGGGCCTGGCACAGTGGCTCACGCCTGTAATCCTAGCACTCTGGGAGGCCGAGGCAGGAGGATCCCTTGAGCTCAGGAGTTTGAGACCAGCCTGAGCAAGAGCGAGGCCCTGTCTCTACAAAAAAATAGAAAAAATTAGCCAGCCTGGTGGCGTGCCAGCTACTTAGGAGGCTGGGGCAGGAGGATCACTTGAGGCTGAGTTTGAAGTTGCTGCAAGCTACAATGACACCACTGCACTCTAGCCTGGGCTACACAACAAGATTCTGTCTCAAAAAAAAAAAAGAAGTATATATGCGTGACTCTGTTTATATGAAGTTCAAAACTAGAACTAATCTATGGTGATGGAGATAAGAATGGTGGTTACATTTGGCGGGTGGGTGGGTTGGACTGGAAGGGAATCGAGGGAGAAGTAAATGAACAAAAGAACAGGGGACCCCCTGGCATTTCCTGTTCTGCATTGGTGTGGGGAGGGCTGGCTCTCGGGGCCTTGAAATCTTAGAGAAAGCCACCCCCTCTCCTTCAGTCACCTGCCTAGCAGAGTCTCAGCCACACGACCTGTGCGTGCTCAGCATTTGAAACCTGTGGGGACCCATTATATCCAGAATCTGACCATATCTTACCATCCTCTCTGCTACCCCTGCAGTCCGAGCTACTCTTGCCGGCACTAGGGCAAAGCCCCCTAACTCCGTTTCTACTCTATTCTCAACACAGCTGCCAGGGTGATCCTTCTAAAACTTAAGTTAGGTCCTATCACTCCTCTGCTCAAAACTTTCCAGGGGTGGCTCCCACCTTACTGGAGTAAAAGCCCCCAAGGCCCAGAAGACCCTTTATCATCTGCTCCCCCATCACTCTGATCCCCTTGCCCCTAATTTACGAGCCCCTCATGAGGCTTCAGCCTCACTGGCCCTTTGGTGTTCCTTGAACTTGCTCCTACCTTGGCCTGAGAAATAAAAATAAAGTCCTAAGCCCCCCAACAACTGACTGAACGGATCCCCTTTTGGCCAAGGGGACCCCAGCGAAACCTTAACACTGAGTTCCAGCCGGGTGTGGTGGCTCAGGCTTGTAATCCCAGCACTTTGGGAGGCCGAGGCTGGAGGATCATATGAGTCCAGGAGTTTGCAACCAGCCCAGGCAACATAACAAGACCCAGTCTCTACAAAAAAAATAATAAAAATATTAGCCAGGCAAGCAGTGAGCTAGATCACACCACTGCACTCTAGCCTGGGCAACAGAGTGAGACTTTGATAAAAACAAAACAAAGCAAAACTGAGTTCCCAGCCATGTTGGGGGGTGGTCAGACACACCTCGTTATACCCCCTCCCTCATCAGGCTTTCTTCCCTCCCGGTTAAGCAGAACCAGCCCTTTGGAAAGACTTGCTCCACCATTGAGTTCAACCAACCGCCTAGTGCTGCGCCTTCCTTTTGAGGTTTCCACCCAACTGACCAGCATTCCTTCCTGACAAGGGGCCATGGCCGCGGAGTGGCTCTGACCGGTCTAGGGAGGCTGTGCAGAGGGTTTTCAAGTCCTCTGCTTTGTCTTTTGATATCAGAGGGCTGAAAACTCCACCCTCAGACCATGCTAACTTCACCATTTTTGGAAAATGGGACACTTGAAGCTCAATTGTGCATGTTTCTCCTTTTATAAATACTCTGGCTCCTCCTATAGCTTCTTAAATATATTCAGCCACGGCTTGGCATAAATTCCTGTTCCCTTTATTTCCTCGCTCGAAGTGCCTATTTTCGGCTTCCGCCAGAGGCTGTGCTTCCCAGCCTGCAAGACAGACACCTGCAGGCTGTAACCCTTTATGAGAAACAAAGCTCTCGTTTCCAAGTTTATGAACCTCCTCATGAAGTTGACAGGCCTCTAGAACCTTTTCTAGCAGTTCTGCTGCCTGTGCTGGTCTTCCTCTGGTATCTACTTGGCTTTCTCACCACCATCGAGTCATTGCTCAAATCTCACCGTGCCGTTTATACTGACCCTGCACCCCACACATACACACACCAGCACTCTCAATTCCTCTTCCCTGTCTTTTTTCTTTTCTCCATAGTTTTCATCCTTATATAACTCACTTACCGTATTTATTGTTTGTTGTCTCTCTTCACTAGGAAGCTGGTTCCATGAGGGGCAGGGATCTCTTTTACTCAGTGATGTGTTCCAAGTGCCTAGAACAGTGTCTGGCATATAGTACGTGCTCCATATATGTCTGTTAAATTAATGAAACTAGGCGCCTATGCTCATTTAGGGTGAGAGCTAAGTTTAACTGAAAAAACAGTCCAGGAATTTTCTGGATAAGAGCATTATGACTCTCAGGGCCAACAGCCATCTGCCCAGGCTCAGAAATTCCCCCAAACACAGAAGAACACAAAATTCAGCAAACCCAGGGAAGTTTTCAGCCAGATTTCCTTCCCAGAGGTTCCTCATCTCCTCATCTGCGAGAGGCTGGAGTAGGGCTGTTGATCACTTAAATGATAAAAAGAAAAAGGAAATGAAGGGGCAAGTCCCTGCATACCTCTGTGGATTAGCCTGGGTCAGTGGACCCACCTGCAGCTGGAATGAGGAAGCCCCTCTTCCAGCTGGGGCAGGGCTGGGGGTGGGGGCAGGAAGGAGCTACGCTCTTGTGAGTCCCTTTTCCCTCTTCTCTAGGGGTAACCTGACCCTGGATCACGGCTACTAGACAGGGTCTAAGAGAATTCAGGTCCCTGCTGTGGCCTCTACCTCCTCTCCCCACCTGACACCTTCTGGGGAGTGCATTGTCCCATTTGATAAAGTGAAGACTGGGGCTGATGGAAGGGGCTTGGCCTACAGATGAAAGATGTCCTTGGAACTGGGGCCCCAAAGCCCTGACCCCAAGCACTTGGTTGTGGCTTATATGGACCCCTCAGCCTCTTCTGGGAGAGTCTTCCTTCCTCATGCCCTGGGACAACTCCTTCCTCCTTCCAGGCAGCGTAGCCCTTTATCCTAAAGCAGGGTAAAGTTCTAGAAGACAGTGTCACACACCCAACACAGAATCCCAGACTGCAGGGCCAAGAGGACCTCAGAGCTCTTATCGACTGAGGCCCAGAGAGGGCAAACAGCTAGTCCAAGTTCACACAGCCCCTGGGCCACTGTTAAGAACAGAGCAGGAAACAGAACCTGGATCTTCTGATCTGGTTTTAAAGTTCTTTCTAGTCTTGAGATTTTGTGATTCCCTGACATGGATCCAGCAGGCTTTCCTCTACCCCAGAGCTGCTTTCATCATGAAGCTCTTGCCCTTAAATTCCCAAACTACCTTGTCCGGTCACTGGCTGTGGCCATAACAGCTCATATCCTTGGCCCATTGAGGGAGGAAGAGCCTTCTCTAGGGCATTTGGAAATATATTCAGTAGCTCCACTTCTCGGGGCCCAGTCTCTTAAGCTTCCCTAAGTCATTGCCCTAACTCCCTCCTCCTGGGCCCTGAGACCCAGATGAGGTCCCTCACCTCTTCTCTTGTCCCAGCTAGTCCCTTCCCCATTCCTGTACCTCTGGCCTGGCCAGAGGACATGGTCCTGGCTCCGACTGGGTTGCAGAATCACAGGATGTTCACGATGGAAGGAGGTTAGAAATTAGAGTCCTGTCCCACATCGGGGGCTGTTCTTTCTTTCTAATGCTTGAGGATCAGAGTGGCTGTCAGGGCCCTCACTCATCTATTGAGCACCTAAGATGTACTTTTTTTTTTTGAGACAGAGTCTCACTGTGTTGCCTGGGCTAGAGTGCCGTGGCGTCAGCCTAGCTCACAGCAACCTCAAACTCCTGGGCTCAAGCAATCCTCCTGCCTCAGCCTCCCGAGTAGCTGGGACTACAGGCATGCGCCACCATGCCCGGCTAGTTTTTTTTCTATACGTTTTTAGTTGTCCAATTAATTTCTTTCTATTTTTAGTAGAGACGGGGTCTCGCTCTTGCTCAGGCTGGTTTCGAACTCCTGAGCTCAAACAATCTGCCCGCCTCGGCCTCCCAGAGAGCTAGGATTACAGGCGTGAGCCACCGCGCCCGGGCCTAAGATGTACTTTTGATGAGCACCGATTATGTAGCAGGCACTATGTAAGAGCTTTACTATCTCATGTAATCGTTGCAACAACAGTCTACTAAGGTAGAGATTACGCCCATTTTACAGATCAGAAAGTTGAGGTTCAGGAAAGTTCTCTAATTTGCCCTAGATCATAGAGCTAATCAGGTCTAGGATTAGGAATGAAACTCACGTCTGACTTAAAGCCCCAGGCACAGGAAGAGGGCAGGGGAGGTGAAACACCATCTCCCGTGGCCTCCCCAGCTGCAAGACTGAGGGGTGAATATCACGGCAGAAATCATTCCATATCCTCAAATCAAACTTCAGAGAAGAGAGGTCACTGGGCAAGGGGACGGGGGAGTTAGCTTGCTGACAGCCCCAACCTGTCAGCTCTCAGCGTGCACATTGCATTTGTGATCACCTGGCTGCACCCGGGAAATGACCTGGCCATACACCTGGGCAGAAGGCCTGCCCCTCCTCCCCGGGTTGAGGAAACAGGAAAAGGTGGCCCTGAGAGGCAGTGAGCAGGTCTGCAGAGCAGCGGTGGCCAGCGCCCTGGCTAGGATGGGCTCTCTCTGGGGCCTGGCTCTGCCCCTTTTCTTCTGCTGGGAGGCTGGGCTGTCTGGCAGCTCCACAGGTGAGGTGGTGTGAGGGTTCCGTGGGGGCTTCTCCCCCGACGGGGCTCTGGGTGTGAGTTTCAGTACGGGCAGCCGTGGGTGAGGGTGGGTTCTCTTGGTTTAATTTTAATTAACCATAAACGTATATGTGAAGTGTCATTATTGTTGATAGAGAGTACGCAAATGACAGTGTGTGACAGCTGAAGTATGGGTGACGCTGCAGTACATACAAACGAACCATGACGCTGTCCATGCTGTCGTTGCAAGGGGCGCTGCGAGCTTGTCTTTATGCCTGTGGGAGTGTAAGGGGGGCGGGGCAGGGGCAGGGAGGTGTCAGCTGGCGATGAAGGTGGCTTAACAAGATTGTGGCTCCTCTGGGTTTATTACCTGGCCATCTCCTTCGAAGTACAGCTTGTGTAGAAAAACTGCTTGGGAAGGGTGGATGCTGAGAGAGGCAGGACTTTTATAAAAGAAGAGAACAAACGCTGATCTGTCGCTAGTAGGAACTGTGCCAAACTTGTCACATACATTAAAAAAAAAATAGACCATTTTTCAGATTAGTTTTATGTTCACAGCTGAGGGCAGAGTTCCCACAGATCTCCTGTTCCACCGCATACAGCCTCCCCACCAGGGCGGCACATTTGCTACATAGGATGGACCTACATTGACACATCATCACACATTCTCTTTTAATCCTCACAGTCGCCCTCGGAGATTATCACTATTCTTACCACCTCTGCCCCTTCACAGGCAGGAGCCTGAGGCTTGCTGGGGTTAAGCGACTCATCCCAGAGCCAGGACTTGGTTCCATATGTGCCTAACCACTGTGCCACACTGCCCCCCGCATGCGCTCACAGTCTACCAGCTTTGTGCTGCACATTTTCCATGTAATTTAATTTAATCCTCACAAGCCCGTGCAATAGGGACTCCTACTTCCTTTTCACAGATGAGAAAATTCAGGCTCAGAGCTGGGAGACCTGGCCAGGGTTACATGTTCAGCAGGCAGCAGAGTGAGCAGCGACAGGGGGACTAAAACCAGAGTCCGACGTCCACACGCTTTCCTCTCCACCAGATCGCAGGGAGGTACCAGCAGAGCTGCGATGGGCCAGAGCTGTGCAGGGGCTGTGGTGGGCTTTGCTCATTTGAGAAGACCCCTGGCAGGCAGGAGCCTTGGGCAGGGGCTTGTGAGAGCCCCGGAAGGAAGAGGCTATGGGCTTGGGGAGCATGAGGAGGTTGCACAGCAGAAATGACACCACAGGGCTCCTGGAAAAGGAAGAAAATGCATCAGGAGAGGTCAGGGGTCAGACTCTGAGAGTGCCACTGTTTGGGCTGCAGGCTGTGTGGGCTGAGGCGGGCTCTGCTTCCACTCTGTGGGGACAGACCAAGAAGGCTCAGAAATATCTCAGGCCTCAAAGTGGGGAGAAGAAAGTGTACTCTGACTGGCAGCCAGCAGTTCCTGCAAAAGCGCGGTTTGTGTGTGAGCCGGGCTGCACTGGACGGGGATGAGAGCGTGTGCCCATGCCCCGCCTAAAGTGCACGGGGTGCAGCCTGCGGTTCTCGCTGCAGCAAGATAGCTCGTGCCTGTCAGGGACGAGGCAGCACGGGGGCAAGATGCTTAATAACCTCTTGTTGCCTTGGGAATCTAAGAGCTTCGCCATTCACCTTCTCCTTTGGTCCTTACCACCTTGAGGGTCTTGTGACCCTGTTTTCCCACGTGAGGAGGTAGTGGCTGGCCCGGCTGGCAGGAGGCAGAGTCGGGACATGAACCAGTAGGTCATGTCACGCCAGCGCTGGTGGTGGGCGGCGGAGCTAGAGCTGCCACCTGGGCTCGTGACTCCTGTCTATCCTGAGGGACCTGGGGGTCCATCCTGACACCCTGGGGAGAGGTCCTGCACCTGTTTGGGGTCTGTGGGCTACTTTGGAGCCAGTGCATCTCAGTAAAGACCATCTGAAACCATCAGAACACCAAAAATGGGGACTCATACTTTGATCCTTTTCCTTTCAAGGGTAGGGTTACTAGATAGAACATATCCAGTGACATTTGAATTTCAGGTAAGGAATTTTTTTAAATGTATGTCTTGAATATTGCATGGAAAATACTCATAATAAAAGACTATTCATCATTTATCTGAAAGGCAAGTTTGAATTGAACTGGGTGACCTGTATTTTTATTTGCTAAGTCAGGCAACCCTCCCTAAGAGGCTCCCTGGCCTACTCACAGAGAGAGCCCTACCGCCCTGGAGACAGGGAAGCAGCCTCTGTCAGGCCATAAAAGATCCTGCTGTCTCCCTCAGGGCCCTCCACTCGCACCGCCCCAGGGGGCCAGTGGAGGGAGCAGGCGTTTGGCCATGGAGCAGCGCCTGCAGCCCCCCTCTCAAGTGTTAGGGTTGCCCCACCTGGCTCCTGTCACATGTGGAGAATGCCTGGCCATGGTGTCTGTGGTTCCGGGGTTCCGTCCCTGTGGTCCTTAGACCCACAGTCACGGGAGGCCTGGGCAGGGCTGGGAAGGGCTCTCTCTCTCTTCCCTGGTCGGAGCCCAGAGGACTCGCCTGCTCCCCTCTGTGGCAGCAGCACTCCCCACGCTGCCTCTGGAGTTCCCTCTCCCCGGTCCTCCCAGCTACCTCTAATGACAAAACCATAGGCCTTTCTTGTATTTTAAGGGTTTTTACTTCCATGGGGAAACAATTGTTGGATAAAAAAAAGTACCCATGGGATACTGAGAAGGATTCTGTCAGAAAGTTCTGAGATTTCCTGGTCTCTACTCTGTAGTTCCTGGCTAACCGGACTTCTGCCTTTCTTGCTCACCCTTGAAGGTGGATCCTGGCCCCACACATTCCCTCTGAAGGCCACACGCCAATAATCAGCTAGGACTGTGGGGCTTGCTGACCTCAAGTGGGTTGTCAGGGCTTCAGCAGACACCAGTCAGGGCAACCCCGGCTCTGTGGCTGCCAGGGGCTGGGCTTCCCAGCGCTGCCCTTCTTCCTTGTTTATAAAGATGAAAAATGGGGTAAGAATAGCTCCACCTCCCCACCCTCTGCCCCGGTCATAAACATAAGAGCCTGTGTGACATCCGTCGGGACTCATGGCTCGGTCTTACCCAACACAGGCCCCAGCACCAGCAGACCAGACACCTTGGTGACAACAAATGACATAGAAGTACCTCCTGTGACTCCAGGGGTTAGGACAAGCTCCGAGGAGGACTTCCAGACCACTGACCTCACTGAGACCTCAGCACCAGGCCACGTCGCTTTGGAAACTCAAACTATGAGCATCGAGACCTTTTCTAATCTCTTAATCCCAGCCAGCACCATTCTCGAAGAAGAGACCAGGGAAACCGAGACTGTTTCCCCTGCAACAGAGACCAGGACCCTCACAAAAATAATACCTCCCAAGTTCATGGTTGTGATCACCGCCTGTATGGAGACATCAGCCTCAAGTGGCAGCCCCACGGGAACTGGAATGACCACAGTTGAGACTGTCACAGGCAGTGATCCTGTGGACACCATCTTTCACACCCTTTGTACCGATGACAGCTCTGAAGAGGCAAAGAGGGTCACAACTGATGTTTTGACATCGGCCCACAGCTCCAGGGAAGCTGAGGGCCTGTCCTCAGAGAGCAGCTCCTCCTCCGACAGCTCAGTTCCAGTCATCACCACCTCACGAGCCCTGGACCCTGGCGTCACTATTCCAGTGGAAGGTTTGGTTGCCTGCACCGTCACCCACTTTGAGGTTACCAACTGCAGTGTAGCAGAAACAGAAACAGCAAGCACCGCCAGCCCCGGGGCCTCGGACACAGATCACAGCCCCACAGGAGTGAAGGCCTCGTCCACCTCTGATACGTCAGCTTTGCCAGACCCCTCTGATGTCAAATCGTACGTCACCAAGTCCACAACCTCTGCTGAGACCTTGCCAACGTCCGGTGCCACAGAGTCAGCCGCACCTGATGCCACCATTGAGACCCCACCCCCCACGAGTAGCACCACAGAGACAGAAACAACAGCAGGCAAGGGCACTACCTTTAGTGGAACTTCAGTGACAGTCAGCATGGACCCCTCGGGAGAAACCTCGGCCTTCTCTGAGGAGACACCAAGCTACATCGAAGTCTCGGGAGCAGTCACAGTCACAGAGGCTGGGTCAACAGTGGACAAAGTGACTTCCTCTGCAGGGTCCTCAGCTGCAGTCTACAGCCCCTCAGAAGTAGCCACCATCAAGAAGTCTACCCCGGCAGAGACGTCTGCCACAGACAGTACAACCAATGGGCCCTTCCCCACCAGTAGGAGCCCTCTTCCTTCTGTCCCTCCGACTACAGGCAATGGCAGCCAAGGAACAAACATCACCTTAGCCAACACCACGACCTCAGCAAAGACTGCAACAAAGCCCCCAACAACCACCACCACCACCGCTCAGACAAGGCAGAACACAACAGCTCCTGCAAGTAAGCGACTGCCCCATGTATGATCCTTGGGGGTTTGGGATTTGGAGTTTCCAGGACGTCACATGCTTAAGGAGTGGGGAGGAAGGATGGACCTGGAAGCCTGTCCTGAGCCCTCTCTCTGATGCTGCCTCTTTGTGATCTTCTAGCCAAAATCAGTAATGAGCAGTCTTAGGTGGTGTATGGAAAGAGTGCAGGGCTGGAAGTCTGAAGAAATGGTTTGAGATCTTGGTTTTGCCATTAATAACCTGAGTGACCTTAGGCAAGTCCCTCTCCCTCTCTGGCCTCCGTTTCTCCACTTGTAGTTGGACAGGGTGGGGATGAGCCCTGAAGTCCTCTCCAGCTCTGACCTTCTATGAAGTTAACTGTTGAGTAACTACTCAGGCAAGGCCCCAAGTTTTATTTAACAGACATGGCCCTCATGCTTCAGACGCTTCTATTCCAGCCACAGCCACACAGAGGGGCAGCATGTGGGCATCTGGCCCAAGTTGCGGCTCTCCCAGCCCTGGGACCCCATGAAAGTGGGCTCACTAGATGCACTTGCAAACATATATGGACAAACACATACATGATGTATATATTTCATCCTCCTTTTTATGCAAGCAGAGCATACGATAAACTCAGATGTCTGAGATAAATCTGTTCTTATGTGGGGAGGAAGAAAAAGGTTTTCACTTTATATTTTATGTTCATCTTTGTGGCCTTGTATTTTTGTCTCTTTGACTAATTTTAGTACCTTAGTCTTTAATTTTTACTTTGTTGTGGTGGGAACATTTAACACGAGACCTACCCTTTCAACAACTACAGTACAGCATCGTTGTCCGTGGGCTCAGTGCTGCGCAGCAGATCTCTGGAACTTACTCATCTTGCATAGATAGAACTTTATGCCCATTGGCTAGCTATTGCCTGTGTCCCCCGCCCCAGAAAGCTATTCTCCTTGATGGCTGCTCAGTATTCCATTATTTTTTTTAACTGTCATTTAACCAGTCTTGTATTAATGGACATTTAGGTTGTTTTCAGTATTCTGTTATGACAAACAGTGCTGCAGTAAATAGTACGTTTCTCACGTGTGTGTTATTTTCTGTAGGATAAATGTCTAGAAGCGCAATCACTAGATCAATTCTAATAGTATTGGTGATAGGAAGAGGTGACTAGAAGGTGGCAGGGGAAGGTGAGCAGATTAAGGCTCAGAGACAGAACTTTCTTGCAGAGCTACTAAGCCAAGAAGGCCAGACCGAAGACCTCTTCCGCCTCCCGCCCCAACTTAAAGCCGGAAGAATTGGCTCGGGGCATCCCTCAGAGAGCCAGCCTCTCTCTGGCATTCTCCCTGGTCGGGCTCTTTCCCATCAGCTCCATCTAGGACCTCCAGGCCTTTAGAACATTCTGGATCCATTTCCATTCTCCTTCCTCACACTACTCTTTGACTTCTCCAAATGTGAGTGGTGCCTTAAGCCACCATTTCTTTCACTCTTGTTGGGAGGATGCTCCAGTGGGCCTAACTATCCCAGAGAGGGAATCCTCCTTCCTCTTAGTAGTGAGTAAATGTAAGGTCTGTGTGAATACAGACACATGAACACACGAGAGCGCACACACACACATGCAGAGGGTGCAAAGGCTGATTAGCATGAAGCATGTCTTGACACCTAAACTGACCTGACCGCATTTTCATCTTCCTGCTATTCTCAACTTGCAGGTGGAGATGGAGGCTTCCTCCTCCTGAGGCTGAGTGTGGTCTCCCCAGAAGACCTCACTGACCCCAGAGTGGCGGAGAGGTTCGTGCAGCAGGTGAGTGGGCACTGTCTGGGTCAGGGGAGTAGAGGAAAGTGCGAGGTTCTCAGGGACTATAGGGGAAATCTGCAGACCACAGAAGAGCAACTACTACACTTGGGAGGGAGTCTTGTTTCTTATGGAGTAATAGGGGCTGAATTTTAGGATCCCAGCCTAGTTTTGCTTCTGCCTGCATTCCCTGAGTTCTTCATTCACCTTCTCTGCAAAGTAAACAAGTTCTGCTCCCAACCCCCGATTTCTTTAGATCCTAGGAAACTCTGGCCTTTGGGCCCCTGAGGAGAAGGTCAATGATATTGATGAGCAGGTAGGCAGGACTCTTGGTTACAAGTGGCAGCAACACATTTACCCAAAAAAGGCAAGGCATGAGAAATCTAGAAGTGCCTCTCAGCTTCAGTTATAGCTGGATCCAGCAGCTCAAACATGATCACGGCAATTTCCTCTTTCTCTTAGCTCTGCTCCCTTCTTTCTCCATATGTACAAAAAGGCAACCATGACACCACTAGATTCACAAAGCAAAATTTGTGTAGCATCAGGGAAGAGCTTGTCTCATTGGCCTGCAAGGGCCACCATGACTGACAGCCAAATCAGGACCACACAGAATGGGAAGGATGGGCCCTAGAGAAAATAGGGATGCTAGACAGAAAAAACCCATAGATATACGCACTAGATAGAGACCAAGATTGGGATATTTGTACAACAACTGGGAATATCCTACTGAAACCAAGATCATTGGGTAGAGCTTTCAATGGCGAAATTCTGGGTCAGGGCTTTTGGAAATGGTGTGACTCATTAGAACGTTAGACTAGGTCAGCTCAGCACAGATGTCATGGACCCAACTCTCTGAGATATGGCTCCCCTACTCTACAAAGTAGGGGATGGAGCATGATGTGGTGGGAAGTATCTAAGCTCTGCTCACAGGTTGACCAGTGAAAATGGGTCCAGTGCACAGTCTAATGTGAACTGACCCTTCGCAAGTGCCCCTGCCAATGCTTCAAGCTTGCATTTGGCACCTCTCACAGTCAGTGGGTGCCATGCAGCTTATCAGTGGCTCAGGCTTGGTGTCACCCCTTGTAAGGATAAACCTGGCAGAGGTGCTACCTGGGAGTCTTATGCCAGGGGGTAAAGTCCACAGCCAGGCTGGACAGATGAGATGACTACCCTTAGCAGATGGAACCAGGATATATCCATTGCAAGTGGGATCCTTTGTTGCAGGCAAAAGAAAACCACTGACTGTCATAGTAAAGGGGGCAGTCATTGGCAGGGTCCCACGGTACATAGAATCAAAGGAATACCAGAGGAGTGGGCTTGAAAAACAAGCAGGAGGAACCCCGGGGACTCTGGGGGCTGCACAGTGGGAACATTCCGACTGGGACTCTGTCACTATTGGATGCTGCCACAGCCAATGTGCATCATGCTGCCTGAACACACTATTGCATATGAGTTCTCACTGCCCTTTTATCTCTGAGCCACCTGTTCCAGGGTCAAAGTCCTGAGGAAGAACATCCAATAGGCTAAGCTTAGCCCTTGTGCCCACATCTTGCTGCCAGGGGATGGGAAGAGGGCATATCTGGGTTTTTGCAGCTCTCTCAGGGGCAGGGAGGCCCGTGAGGACTCTTGCAATAAGGAGTTTTCTAAATGTGGCATAGGGATTTGACACGGGACAGCCAAATAAATGACGAATGCCCTCTGCACGTGATAACCAAAGTGGCAAGTGTGCATCCTAGTTGAAGATGGAAGCCAGGGTTGAATGTCAGATCTGAGCCACCAAACTTGAAACTATTTCAGGAGTCAGAAAGAAACGAGGGAGCTCAGGGGTAGGCCAGGCAGTTGAGGTGCAGGTGCCAGGCCATGGGGATGTCCGTGTCAGTTCTTATTGGGAGCCACCAATGGGGCAGGGCTTGGGGGTCAAGCAATGAGCTTTGGAGCAAGATAGATCTGGGTGTGAATTATAGTTGCTAACTGTTTGACCGTGGGTAAGTTATTCCATATTACTTTCATTGCATACAAAATGAGAATAATAATATCCACTTTATAAGGTTGGTGCAGGGTTTAAATGATATAATGTGTATGAAGCATCCAGCCCAGGTCCAGCATGCAGGAGGCTCAGGAAGTGTTGCTGTCCTCCTCGTGTGCTCTGTCCCACTGTCCTTCCTGTCGTCAGCCTGCGGCGAGCTCACAGGCAGATGGGCAAGAAGTACCACCTGGCTCCTTCTGCTCTCCAGCTCCACCGTGAACTGCATACCCACTTGCCTCCTATCCAAGTCTCCCTACTGCGCTCCAAGAGGGCCTAAAGAATATCAGCTGCTGCCAGGCATGTCCCATGTGCCAAAACAGGGACAGTGCTGCCAGTGGCCTGGGCCCCCACCACCAGGCTGGAGCCGCATTACTGTGCTGAGATGTACCTGGAAGAGTCCCATGAAGGTCAGCTGGCCCAAGCCCCCTAGCCCAGATGTGGCAACAGGACCCTGGTTCACGTATGCCTGAGTGAGTGTATGTGGGTGGGGGGCTTCTCCTGTTCCCAGACATGTCCTTGGACTTCCTTGGCACACATGCTGTGTTTCAGTAAAAAGAGACCTGACCACCCACCTGTGTGTTTCCACCTTGCATCCTCAGTGTGGCCTGGAGGCTGTCTGTTTGACCCATATGCTCTTGACATTTTTATAGGGACTTCGTTTGTCCTTAAGGCTACCTCTCTCCTTCCTGCTCCCCCAGCTCTTGGTTTGGACCTTGGTTACAACAGTTACTGAGGCCAGCCCTAGAGCCTGCTCAACAGGGAGCTCCTTCAGGGCAGGACCGTATTTGTTCGTCTCAGCATCCCCTGAACCTAGTGGAGCACGTGGCCTGTGGGAGGCTCAGAGAATGTTGAATTGACTCGAATTGCAAGCTCTGGACACAAGATTTGAAAGAAAGGCTGCAATCCTCAATTATTCCTCCCATAACCCATAATTCGCATGTTATTATTTTTTAAATTAAACATGCTTTATTTTTTTCTGTTATAAAAGTGAAACTTGCTTATGATTTTAAAATTTTGAAAGATTCAAAATACCAAGGAAAAAGAGTAGTGGGAAGAGGAAGGAAAGAGAAAGAAAAAAATGTCTAAAATCTCACCTCTTAGATACAATTATTGTTGATGTGTATATCCAATTGTATACTCAGCCTCTCCACTTGGATGTTAATGAGATATCTCACATTCAACATTTCCCAGAGTCCTGATCTTTCCCCCAAACCTGCTCCACCTGTGTCTTCCCCATCTCAGTTAATGTCAATTGCATCCTTCAGTTGCTCAAGCCAGCATCCTTGGCACCATTCTTCATTCCTCTTTCTCTTACGTTTCCCATCCGCAAATTCTGTTGGCTCTACTGCCTCAAACTATGCCCAGAATCCCGCCCCTCCTCATCCCCTCCACTGCTATCACCAAGATGGTGTAAGATGCTACCATCTCTCACCTGGATTACTGCAGTCCACAGTCACTACGGGTCTCCCTGTTTCCACCTTTGCCCCCCAACCCCGGTCTAGTTCCAATATGGCAGCCAGAGCTGTCTTTTTATAACGGAAGGCAGATCATGCCACTCCTTTGCTCCAAATCCTCCCATCTCATTCAGAGGAAAAGCGGCGTTCTGGCAATGGTCTGCAAAGCTGTACATGATTGGCACCCCTCTGCCCATCTCTTTAACTTGCTCACTGCACTGCAGCCACACTGAGTTCTTTGCTGTTCCTTGAATGCATCGGGCCTGCTCGGGCCTTGGGACCTTTGTGTGCATTGCTCGGTCTGCTTAGAAGGTTTCTCCTCTAGACATTTGCTCAGCTAACTCCTCCATCTCCACCCCCTTCATGTCCCTTCTCAGTGAGGCCTACCCTGACCACCCTATTTAAAAATTCAACCTCCCCTCCTCTGCTATGATTTCATTCATAGCGCTGATAACAACTTAACATCATACATACTTTATTTGTCTTGTTTATTATCTGTGCCCCCCAACTAGAATGAAAGATTTTGCCCTTTACCACATCCCTAGGGCTGAGAACAGTGCCTGGCACATAAAAGGTGCTCAGTGACTATTTGTTAAATGAATGAAGGAAACAATGGAACGATGCTGATCGTGCTCTGAATAAGGGGAGTGTGAATATTCGACTGACTTCCTTCTATTTCCAGAGTAGGGCAGAATGAGTTTCATAAAGTAGGTTGGATAAAAATAATTCAAACATCCATCCTGGCATATTTGCTGAGCTCCTGCCACAGAAGAGAGACTACGCTATGTGCCGTGGAGGGTTCAAAGATGTCTCTTCCCACTGGGATTAAAGTTAGTAGGGAAGGTTAGACATCTACAGAAATAACAAACCAAAAGAACTTATGTACACTACATATAGCAAAAACAGAATACCCTTAACATGCAGAGAACTCTTATAAAGCAATAAAAAGACAAACATACCAGTAGCAAAATGAACAGAAGGCTATAGGCAAGTCACAAAAGAATATAATTGTATGAATGAAATCGATACAACCTTTCTAGAGGACAATCTGACTATTTATCTAAAGCCTTAAAAATGTGCCTACTTTTAACTCAGCAATTTCATTCCTCATTTATCTTAAAGAAATAATTAAGAATCTCTGTAGAACTGTTTATAACAGTCAATAAAAGACAAAGACAAAACACAAATAACCTAAATATCCCAATGTAACAGTTTGTTTAAATATAGTGTTATTTCATACAGTCCATAGAAGTGTTATTGACATGTATATTTATTAAGATGTAAATAAGTTCATGAAATATTATTTGGTCTTCTCTTATGTTTTTTAATGGAAACATCTTTTTTTTTTTCTCTTCAAACTACCTTTCATACTTATCTCCAGAGCTTTCCTCTCTAAAATTAAACTATTCCTGTTCCTACCTATAGGATAAAAACCCCAGCTTGGTATAGAAGGGTCTTAACTCATCCAACTTCCTCAGCTCCAGGTCTTATAGCCCCCTCTCCTGTATCCTGTGCCCCTTCCACAGGGAGCATCTCACTAGCCCAGTCACACCCGCTTTGACTCACACGGTTGGCACACTGAGATTCTTCCCCTTTGTTCTTAGAAGCCCAGTTCATATGGCACACTTCATGACTTTGTCAAATTCCCTAGAGAGGAGCTGGTTTCTTAGTCTCTTTACATGCTGTATTATTATGCATTTACGTACACATTTGTTAAATTGTACGTGCTTCGGGTCAAGAACCAGCTAGTGTTCATCTCTGTAGTCACGGAGCCCAGCATGGAGCCCTACACATCAGGGCGCTCGCATGTTTGCTGAGCAGCTGAGATAGATGATGGTCTGTGTGAGCAAAGAGCCCTGAAATATGGGCACTGGACTCTGAAAGTTTCAACAATGGCATTCAGTGTTGAAGTCAAACAGTAAATTTGATGATATAAATGTTAGGAAGCTGCGCTATAATTAGGCATGAATGGAGAACAGTTTGCATAAACGACAGTAACATCACTGTTATATTTAACATAAACCTAATTCTTAGTTTTTCTTCTCTTGCTTTGTACTTCTTCAAATTGGTGATACCTAATACAGTGGTTAACTTAATCTTAATTACTACATATAAGGACACACATGTACATGCAATGCTGATTACTGTTTTTATTGGAAGTCAAAAAATTTGTAACATTTAACTAGCCTAAAAAATGGGTTAAATATGAGATAAACCAGTTAGAAGCATTTGGAAATTAAAGCGTACAGTTATTATTGCATATGAGAGAAAGAGAGAGAGAGAGATGAGAAGAAAGAGGAAGAGAGAGAATGTGGTATATGTGTGTGAGAGAGAATTACTGGAGATGATCCAAGTTATTAATAGCAGAAGTAAGTTACCAAACCAGCAAGAACCAGAAGTACCTGGAGAAAACTCCAAAGGTGTGTATATATGAGGTGAAATGCCACATATTTCATGAAGACAAATGCGGGTGTGGACCTAAACAAGATAGCCTGTCTAAAGTCACCTGTGACCCAGCATGAACTCTGAGAAGGCAAAAACCCAGAGCCATGGAGGCCAACGTGAGGTGGAACTTTTCCTACCAGAGTCTTCATCAGAAGCCTCTGCCACAGCCAGAGTTTTGTAGTTTTCCTCATATAGATCTTGTGCATATTTTGTTAGATTTATATCTGAGTATTTCATTTTGGGGGGGTGCTAATGTAAATGGTAATGTGTTTTTAATTTCAAATTCTAATTGTTCTTTGCTGGCACATAGGAAAGCAATGGTCTTTTGTACACTAACCTTACTTATATTATGAAACCTTGCTATTAAATATAATTGCTTTTTAGTTCTGGGAATTTTTTTGTTGATTCTTTTAGATTTTCTACATAGACTATCATGTCATCTGTGAACAAAGATGGTTTTAATACTTCCTTTCCAATCTGTATATCTTTTATTTCCTTTTTTGTCTTATTGCATTAGCTGGGACCTCTAGTACTATATTGAAAAGCAGTGATGAGCGGGTACATCATGACTTTGCTCCTGATCTTAGTAGGAAAGCTTCAAGTTTCTCACCATTAAGTATGATGTTAGCTGTAGGCTTTTTGTAGATGTGTTTTATCAAGTTGAGGAAGTTCTCCTCTATTTCTAGTTTACTCGGTGTTTTTGTTATGAATGGGTGTTGGATTTTGTCAAATGCTTTGTCTTCATCTCTTGATATGATCAAATGATTTTTCTTCTTTAGCCTGTTAATATGATGGATTACATTAGCTAAGTTTTGAATTTTGAACTAGCCTTGCATACCTGGGATAAATCCCACTTGGTTGTGGCACATAATTATTTTTATACATTGTTGGATTCAATTTACTAATATTTTGTTGAGTATTTTTGCATCTATGTTCATGAGAGATATTGGTCTGTAGTTTTCTTTTTTTATAATGTCTTTGTCTGATTTTGGTATTGGATGAATGACTTAGGAAGTATTCCCTCTGCTTCTATCTTCTGGAAAAGATTGTAGAGAGTTGGTATAATTTATTCCTTAAATGTTTGGTAGAATTCACCAGTGAACCCATCTGCTTAATTCTTGATAAATGAATGCTGCGGCTATGATTTTATATGGAGACTTGATTACACTTTGGGGCTCATTAGGGTAAAGCTATAGCCTTATAAGCAGAAGAGTGGCTTCACCAGCTGGAAGAAGTCATTCTCTATTCAAAGTGGACAGTTTGCAGTCTCTGTTCAGATAAAGATCATGCTTTTCTGGAAGCTTCCTCCAATACCACTTACCACCCACAAGAGAGAGCCTGAGCGCACAGTTCGTATCATGTGACTTCCTTTCTGTAACCATGGCCACACTTGATTGGACCAGGGATGGACAACTGACATAAATTGGGCCAATCAGATTCATTTTTCAGGGATTTGGGATTTAGGACCAACAGGCAGCTACCTAGTTTCTGCATAGAATTGGAATTGAGGTGTTTTAGACACAAAAGTTGTGGACCAACTGTTGTTGGAATTGTTACACCAGATGGCTGTATAAAAGTTCCGCCTGCTGAGAGAGATGATGATGTGAAAGCTGATCAGGTTGCTGGGAACAAGTGGAGATAGAATAGGGCTGAAGGACTGTGGGATGGAGAACCTCAGAAGACTCTACCTGGGGTCTAGGAAAGGACAGAAGAAGTGTATTAGGGATTGGGCACCCCGGATCTAAAGATGGGGTGAATGGCATGCTTGAGTATTCTTGGAAAGAGAGCCAAAACGACTTAATCCCTTTTCCAGGGAACTCAAGCAATGGGGACAGCAATTAGGAAAAAATACTGTGTATTTATCCTTTTGCCATTTCTGTGAAACTGACAGATATCAGCACAACAGGGAGGGATCCCGGAACAGAGAGGCTAGGATACTCCATTTAGAGGTATCTCTGTTCTCCTTCTTAAAGGGTCAGGCTTTGGCCTGTGTTGGGGTGGGGGGATGAAGAAGGTGATCTGGAGTGTGAAACAAGGTCCCAAGTCAGAATTGGAGCAACTGAGGATTTCCAACATGGTGTAATTAGGAGCCGAATAGGACTGCATCCAGTCCTCCCCTGTTCCTCCACCACCCTATGCCTTCTGATGCTTGGGAGAAGGCCTGTGTCAAGTGGAATCCATGGTTTTGACGACACAAAAAGTCAGAGGGACTTTATTTAAATAGACTTTAATTAGAAGTAAACCAGAGTTTTGTGTGCAGAAGCATTGTGCTTAACTTAGGGCTATCACCCCATTATTAACTCTGGTGTGTGTGTGTGTGAAGACCCCATCCATTCGTGTATTTGGTCTTTATGGCCTCTTCCTGTGTGCCTGTGCCTGCTGACATGGCAGTGTTGTCCTTATACCCGTTATTCATTCTCTTTGAAGAATCCCCGTCATCTTCAGTCACCTTCCCCAAAGCAATGGCTCCTGAGGTGTGCGGTGAGGATGGGCTGGGTCCTGAGGTATCCTAGGCCACAGCTGTCCCTTTGGGCGAGGCCTCAGCTTTCCGAGTCCAGGTGGTAGTCGTAGTACTTGGTCGCGGAGCAGCCCCAGAAGCGCAGGACCACAAACACCGCGGCCCCCAGCAGCAAGAGGACGCTCAGGGCGCCAAAGAGGATCCCGAAGAACGCGCCGAGTTTCACACTCAGGTGCTCACAGCGCTCGCCCCAGGCCGTGTAGATGGTGAAGGACACACAGCTGGGGACAGAGAGGGCGCGCGATCAGGGGCGGGGAGGCGCGTGCGCAGCCTGCCCGCCCCGCCTCTTCCGCTGGGGCCAGGGGAGGTTCTCCAGGGCAGGCTGGGCACCCACTGGAGAGAGGCCGAGTCAGCCCAGAGGCCGTGCTGAGGCGAGGCCACCGGGCAAAGGAGGCAGGCGTGGGCCTGAAATACGTGGGTGTGAATTCACCTGGACAGCAGGGACCAGGGCTGGCCACGGGTGGGCGTGCGCAGCCATAAACCCCGCCCCAGCCCCGCCCCTCCTGCAGAGCTGGGCTCCGCCCACGCCCCGCCCACTCCCGCTCCGACCCAATCCGGAACTGCGGCCTGCGCCGGCTGGCGGAGGACGGGCACATTGACCCCACTCCTGTCACCCGAGCCCCTCCGCCTGCTAAGGAGCAGAGGGGCCGTAGGCGCCTCCCATGACCGAGTACTCTTAACGGAGGGGCAGGCCTGGCCCTGGACACCGACGGCGGGTTCCGCTCCCACAGGAGACTGCAGGGTGTGCTCTCAAGAAGCAAAATCAGGTGGAAGAGTTAGGCTTGGGAAACCATCCCCTGCGACTCTCGCGGTACCTTGGGCAGGTTTCTTGTCATCGCTAAGCTACAGTTCTCTCGTCTTCAGCATGCTCCTAATACCCACTTTGTGGCTCATTTGAGTCGCGGAGGTAGTGTGTTTATTCTCCCCACGGAGCAGGCCCTCACAACAGTTCTTTCCCGCTGTCTGGTCCCTGGTCTCTCCCACTACAAGGCGAGCCATCCTAACTTTCACACGTGAGGTGCCCTGGCGTTCCCGGACCGCTAGCAGAGTCTTGCCCAGTTTGGATTCCCCAGCACTGTCTTTCCCCTCCTGCGCCCCGCCCTACGCACCTGCAGCGGGGCCCGTCCGGCAGGTGCTGGCACTGGCCTCCGTGATCGCAGTAGCCTTCACTGCACGGGGACACGCAGGTGAGGCCGCTCTGGGGGCTGTAGACCATGTGGTAGCCCTTGTAGCCACTGCAGCTGAAGTACGTCTTCAGCGTGCTCAAGTTCACTGTCAGGTAGGACACAGATTAACATGGAAAGCAACTGATTAACACTAAATTAATACATTTTCACTCAAGAATTTCATTTTTAGGTGATCATTCTGAGAAATAATTGGAAAGGTGCACAAATGCATATGTCCTTGGATATTCAGATCAGCGCGGTTGATAATAGCAACAATGTTTAACAAGAGGGGTCTTGTTAAATAAGTTACTATATATCCCTATCAAGGGAACCACGGTTTCGATGGTAAGGAAAATGCTTTCGCAAAGAGCATATGCTTTGAACTTGGCCAGACCTGAGTTGCAACTCAGAGTCTACTATTAACTAGCTGTGTGATTCAGGGGAAATTTCTTAACTCTTTCAGCCTCAGTTTCCTTATCTTTAAAAGGAAATGATAATAATAGCACTTGTGAGATTTAAATGAGATAAAGCAGAGTACTCAGTACAGTGCCTGACGCATAGTAAGCACTCAGCAAATGGTAATTATTATGATATATTTAAAATATAAGACACTATCTTCAAACATATCATAAAATAATATGTCAAATGGAAATATAGACACAATATATGAGTAATATGGTCATAATTGTTTAATGAGGTTATCAAACATTAGGTATGATTTGATCCCTTAATAAAAAATTGATATGTGTGAAAGTTCCTAGGCACAAAAGAAAGTTCAGAAGGATGTGTACAAAATATAGTTGTCTCTGAGGATTGGGATTATGGGTTATTTTTTTCCTTCTTTTTGTTAATTTGTGTTTCCTAGAGTTTCTGCAATAAACATATTATACTCATATAATAGAAATTGTGGGTTTTCTTTATCAGCATAGTCAGGGCTGAGGTCTTTGCTCCCTTACTGCCTCCCCACTCCTCCTACCCTGACTCCTTAACATATAGTAGTCCTGAGGGATTTTGCCTTGTTGCCCCAGGAGGGAGGAGGCTTAATCTGGATTCTAGGAGAAGCTCTTGCTTGGTTCTGGATCCAAGTACAACAGCAGTTTCTGTTGTGTTCAGACTGGTCACTACCCTATTCTTTGCCCCGTTCCAGAAAATAGGGTGGGTTAGTCCTTTCTGTCTCTGGCAAGCTTGCCAACTCATCATTCCTGTTCCAGGAGAACCAGGGGCTGTCAGAGCTAAGAGGGGCCTCAGAAATCCTGTCTCATTTTCAGACGGGGGTGTTGAGGCCTGGCCTGGGGACTGTGCTTGCGAAGGGCCATACCCTTCCACAGAGGGTGCTATCTCTGCCCCTGGCCAGTCTCCAGCCTCCAGCTTAAAATCCTCCAGCTGAAGGGCAAAGGTGAGGGGACGTCCTTGTGTATATTTAAGTGCAACAGTATTTTAAGAAAACCATTAGCAGCAATAGGAAGGCCTCAGCTGGAGAAATTGCTCTGTGAAACTGCACACATGTGGGAGCATCAGCAGCATTTTGTGCTCCTGCTCTTGAATCTAAAAAGCTGATGAGTAAAATATTTACATTTTTCTCTCAAAAGTTACAAAACAAAGAAAAGTAAATTAGCGTGACTCTTCCTTGTCTGCGGACCTCCACAGAACACTTTTCTATCATGAGTGTGTGGGGGCCAAAGACCTGTGACAACTTCCCTCTATTAACCTGCCCCCCATTATCCTTGTACTTTCCCCAAGATACAGTAACTCACGAGCCATCTCATCACGCACGTCTTCCCTGGAGATGGGGTGGAAGACCACGTTGTTCCTGGACCCCTCACTCCTCTTCCACCTCCTGGTCGGCACCTGGGGTAAGAACACCTCCACCACCGCGTCCAGGAGCTGGTTATTTAGGAAGTGGATGACAGGGCCCCAAGGGCGGTACTGGAACTTTGAGATGACCTTCCAGTGTTGAGTGGAGCTTCCCGAGGCTGGTGCTGGGGGACGGCTGTCGGGAGGGCGGGGGACAGTGAGGAGGTAAGCGACATGGGGTGGGGGAGAAGACCCAGGGACCCAGGCAGGGACAGTCCGACTTACATTTGTTCCACTTTGCTGTTCTGGAGAAAGGCCCGCACCGCCAGGGTCCCCAGTCTGTATGCCACCTAGGGCAGCGGATAGGGGGATGGAGTGGGGGATGGTGAGGCCCAGTCCAGGGAGGAGACCTCACCCACTCTGATGCTTTATTCATCTCTGTCTGTTTCTGCCTTTGAATGTGAGCCCCAGGATCCCCAGAACGTTTCTCACCCGTCGCTGCCTCCTCACACCCTAGCCCAGTGCAGAGACTGGTGCGGGTCCTCAGTAATATTTGTTGGTGAATGGAGGGCCCACATTACTTTTCCTCTCCTCTGCCTCATCTTACAAGGGGAGAATCTGACGCGAATGGCCCCTAATCCCTGACTCGCCAACTCATTCCCTCCCCACGTGCATATTGGACGTCAGTTGTTTAGGCAGACCGGGGGGAGGTCAGATACTGGGGGCGGCAATGTGACTTAGGAAGAGTCTGCGCTCAACAAGCCCAGAGTCAGGCACAGTAGACAAACACCAACAGATATGGCCACATGCAGCGTGTGGAGTGCTGTGCTGGGAGTAGCAATAATTGGAATAACAAGTTTTGAACATTTGTATTTCAGGCACCATGCTCAGTGCTTTACATACATTATCATTTAAACCTTGATACAACCTATTGACATAGGTACTATTATTGTCCCTATTTTTACAGGTGACCTGCTACATAACGTGTCTAATTATTACACCTGCTCCAGTAAGTGGCCGAGCAGGGATTTGAATCTGGGTGTGTAGGATTCTAGAGCCTCAGCACTCAACAGCTGTGCTACTTTGCCTGTGACTGAGGTGTGGAAGGGCATGGAGCCAAGAAGGGGAGCCCCGATTCCCTTTGGGAAGTCCAGAAGGCTCCCTGGGGGTGAAATGCCCTCTAGGCTCTTCCATATAATACCCAAGAAATGCAGGTCTTGAGGGGTGCTCAGAGGCAGAGGTGGGGGCGACTTGGCACCGTAGGCTCTGCTCATGCTGAGTTGGTGATTCTAACAGCTTTTGAAGTCTCTCTCCTGGGGCTTTCTGACTTCCTAACCCCCCAGACCTGCCCTGGAGCAAGAGGCTCCAGCCTCCTCTGGCAATTGAATCTAGATGAATGACAAGATGAAGGACACACAAGGCATGGCTCAGCCCTTGCCTGAACCTGCCAAGATCCACCTCCCTCCCAAAGCCCGGCTGCAGCACTGACCGAGGCGTTGACATCTGCCATGGAGGCATTTTCGTCTTCACTGAGTGAGAGCTGGATGACTCTTAAGGGAAGCTCTGGAGATGGGACAAATTCATCATCACCTCACAGTTTTACCCAGATTTACTCAAGAAGGCCGTTGGGCCAGCCCAGGCGAACTGCTCTGTGTCACAGTGACAGAAGGTCACTGGAGAAATCAGAACTGGTCCCCCTCACCCTAGTGCTCATTCCATACGGCTAGGGCTTCCCTGACTCTCATCTCACTGAGCCGCGAGGTGTCTGCTGCAGACTTTCCTCAGCAGACCGCACAGGCCAGTGGTCCATGCTGGGACAGCTGCCCTCCCAGCTCCCACAGCCTACGACTTATCACCACCCGAGAGAAAGCGGGAGTTCCGCCTGTGAGTTTGAGGAACTTGGCCCTGGACCCCCGAGTTTTCTCATCTCCCCCAAAGGCAGGAGAAGCGTGGAGGTGGGGATGGCGGGGGCGTCTGGTGCTACCTGGACTCATGGTTGGAGTGAAGTTGTTCCCAGCCAGGAAGCAGCGGGTGTCGGTGAAGGCCGGGGGGCAGGTACACATGGGTTCGCAGCCCAGAGTCTGGGAGATGTAGCAGTGGCCGTGGTTGTAGCAGTAGTTCACAGGACAGGACTTGTTCTGACAGAGGAAAGAGTTCTCCAGAGCTGCAGATGGAGGAAGGAGGTCAGTAACACCACCCTGCGGCCACAGCGGTGAGGGAGTCCCCAGCCCATGGAAACCTTGGGCTGGTTTGGTTTCTTTTCCCCAAAGCCTGCTCAATCTGCATTCTGCTTGTGGGCCACTCAGAACCTCCAAACCATCCTTCTCCCCCTTTCCAGGCTTTTCTCTGCAGGGCAACCCTTTTTCCTCTAACAGGTAAGTATTCTTCCACTTCTGCAGACAGAGTGCAGTGCTTATCAGACCGTGGCATCAGGAAAGGACCCAGAAGGAGAGAGGCCCACCAGCCTGCTTTCCTCCCTCTTTCACTTCCATCTCCTTTTCCGCCTTTAGAAGGCTGTGGTTCTACCCACTGTGGCTTCTTCTCTGAAGACTCAGTAATCTCTAGATGTTATTTGGGGCCTTGGTAGAGCACTCACTTTTCGTGACTCCAGCAGCTCCAAGAGAGAGGAGGAGATGGCAGGGAGAGGGCTCAAAGGGAAAATGAGGCACCTTTGCCTCCAGATCCCCATGGCTGTTCCTCCAAATGTCCTGACTTGTGAGATGCAGAGACCCTGGGCCTCCTGTCCCTGAAGACCCTGAGGAGCCCGACGGCCCCAGCTTGCCCCGGGTTCCCTGGCTGCTGCTGGAAGCCCCTCCCCTCTCCAGACCATCTTCAGTCTTTTTCCCTGTGTTTTCCCCATCAGTGCCTCAGGGGTGCTCTGCCCTGTCCCCTCCCCTGTGCCTCTTCTCCTTCAGCCCCACACCATCCACCACCCCCTTTCCAAGTCCCCCATGCCATACCTACTATACTGAGCGTTGTAAAGATTTTCTGGAATAGGGAGAGAAAGGGTTTGCCTTTGGCTATCCTAGACCCTTGAGACGTCATCTGTCTCTAGAGCCTCCTCCTGTCAGGGGCCTGCGCCCAGCTCACCTGCACAGTGACGCCCATCCCCAGTGAGGTTTGGGGGGCAGGCCTCGCAGCCCTGCCCAGGAATGCAGCTGACATTCGGGAAGCACTGCTCCTCACAGGGGTCCTTGGAGCGTTCGCAGTAGTGGCCAAAGGTGTCCCCGTCACACTTGCAACCAGCCACCTGGAACAATTTGATGATCACAGGGGGCCGAATTATTAAGGGCTTCTGGATGTTTCTGACTGATCTCTTTGATCTGAGGATCCATGGACCCTGCGTCCATGTCTTAGTTCCACCAGCGTCTACTGAGCACCTTCTTGTCCAGGCCCTGAGCCTGCAAGTCCCTGTCTAAAGCCACACGGGTGCCCTGCCCATTTGGCCTCGCTGGGCCATTTTTTACCCTGACCCCCCACATGGCCCTGCACCAGGATCTCAGCCTCTACCCTCTCACACCACATCTCCTTGCCTCTAGAGTAAGACAGGGAATGAATGAATGAATGAGTGAATGTGTGTTCTGCAATCCCTTGAAAATTGGATTCCATGTAAGCTGCTGTTTCTTTCTCTATCTCCCTTCCTGACTCCCAAACCAAGAAGACAGAGCCTCACTGCTAAGTACCATGAGAAGACACAACAACCAGAATAATGGCACAGCAAAGCTCGATGGTTCCAGAATCTCATCAAGTTCCCCAGTCTCTCCTTTCTGACTTCCCTGCTGAAACCACTCTGGAAGTCTCCCTAACCTTTCAATACTTTCTACTGTCAAGAGTGGATATTTTGGGACATAGAGAATAGTATATTGATTTTAATCTCTGTTTTTCCCATTGTGTATTTCTTCCTTTTCTACCCCGGCCTTCCCACCTCTGTCCTCTTCAAGTACCAATTCTCTGCTCACGCTTCAGAAGGGTGTGTGTGTGTGTATGTACGTGCCGTGTGTGGGGCGAAGGAGGGGGTTGGGTGTTGCCAGACAAACACTTTCCTTTCTGGCTCCTCCTTTACAATCAAAAAATAAAAAGCAGATGGGACAAGAGTCATGGATTTAGGCAAGTATCTTGGCTGAAACTTGAATGCAGAAGCAACTTCTCCAAACTGAAAAGAGATGTTACTTTTAGCTGGAGGGAGAGAGTAACAGAGAAAATAAAGGGGTTTTGGGGGTGTCAAGATAGACATCACGGTGTCCCAACACCGTGATGATGAGACCCCAGAGAGAAATGGCTCTGTGGTGCCTGTAGGCAGTGGGACCACAAGTAGCCTCACGAAAGGTTTCCTGGGTCTGAGCAAGGCACAGAAGCAGCAGGGCCTCTCCTGGGCCTGCAGGGGCGGGAGAACAGGGCTGGGATACATCCTGTGTGGACTCCTGCCCAGGGAGCACAGGGACACCTCTGTGCCCTGCACCGGGTGTCACCCCAGAACTGTGAAACTGGGAACCACTGGGGAACTGTAGGAAAGGCCAAGGTGGAAGCTTCCTGCCAGCCTGGCAGATGGGAGGTGGGAGATAAAAATGCAATTGAACTATGAGCAATGAAGACCCACTTCTTCACACGTGAGTCTGTGGCCTGAGATTGGCATGTGCTCTACTCACCTACCATAGCCCCACCCACCCCCAACACAGACGTTGCCTAGAAGAGGCTGAATCACAACATCCCTCCAATTCCCATCTCCTTCCCCTACACATGGAAACACATCCCAACACTCACCTCGAGGGAGGAATTGCCCACCCTGCTGGTCTTGTTATATAAACACTGGCTCTCTTTGCTGCAATTGCAGACCACGGTCTTGGGCTGGAGTACGGATGACAAGCCAACTTTGGTGCTTCTTGCTAGAATCTCCAGAGTGAACGGTGTCAATGAGTTTGGTGTCCATAGCAATGTCCCATTCTCTGCCCAGGAAAGATGAGATCGTTGAGAGCTAGAAGACTCCTCTGCTCTGTGGTCAGATGCATCCTGGCATCTAACACCCTGACTGCTGATGCTGGGATTTCCTCCACCCTTCTCAGACCACCCATACATCTCATCAGGCATTTCCTTTGAGCAGGCTGGTATCCTGGCCAGGCTCCAAGCTGGAAGGAGATAGCATGATCCCACTTACTGATTGTAGGCAGGGACTCCTCAGAGGGGAAGGCAGTTCCCCTAAAGAGACCCCAAAGGGCAGTTCCCCAGGATGGCATGTCCAGGGGGATGGAGGACAAAGGCCAGGATCCTCCTGACACTTCCCCAGGCTACACTGCAAGCCAAACTGGCTTCACCCTCACAGTAACCCCAGCCCTAGCCCTGATTTTTCACCCACTCTCTCACTTCCCAGACCTTTGACCAGTCACCCCTTCAGGCACCAGACTACAGTGAAAAACTGCTACCTATCTTCTGATCGAACCTGTCTTATGTTTGTCAAGAACATAGGAAAATCTCCTTAAAGCAGCAGGTTGAAAGGAACTGATACTAGGGAATAGATGGCAGTAATTTCCAGACTGTCACTCTTCAGGAGTGGAGCCCAGTGGAGAATAAAATCTCCTGATGCCATGTGGTGTAGACAGAGCCATCTTTTCTTATGCACAGAGAAAGAAAATGAGGCAGAGAGCTGATTAGAACTCAGAATATGGTCCCTGGGGACTTTGGTTTAGCAAAGAACAGTCACCAGCATAGTTAATGCTGGCCATAGACGGAAGGCTGCAGCCTTCTGTCTGCAGCCTGTGCTTTGAGCCTCTGACCCAGACCACGGATACAGGCCCGGAGGTCTCTAATTTAATCACTGCTGAGAGGAAAGATGAATCTGTGTGTGGCCCCGGCACAGAAAATCAGACAAGGAATGACAAAACTATATTAACAAGCATGGTTAGCAAACATAAAAATAGTGAGGAAGGTACCAAATGAAGGTATTTGTATTTCTTTAAATCTTGTCCCACATTATATCCTTCTTTTAATAGACATAAAAATGTTGTAAATTAGTATTTTTAAATTGTTTTACTTGATTATTCTAATAGTTTGGTGACTGCATAATGATGATTAAAGATGATAGCATATTATTAGATTGAGATTAAGTGATCTTTGAATAAGATTTATGGGCCCAGAGTGAGTCTAGCTATCTGGCCAAATTGCCATAAGCCTGTCCTGACTATTACCTGGGAGCACCTGTTTGAATTATCAGTGTCATTCCTAAGAGACGCCAGTCCTGGATATTCAAATGAAAAAGGGACAGGAAATTGTGCTGGGTATAGAAATGCAGAATTACTCCAAGTTTGACTCTGACCTCATCCTCTACCCACTCCCACCATCTCCCACCCAGCCAAACATTTTACCAAAGAGCTTAACGTCAGTGCAGTGGTTTCCAAGAGAGAATGTGACATCCTCAGCGTTGCTGGTGTAGTGAAACAGCGTGGTATTCCCCCGATAGGCTTCAAGCACATGAGGACCATGGATAGAGGGCGGGTACTGATCTGAAACACAGAGGGGATGGGGTCTGAGACAGGATAGAATCTTGCCATATCAGCCTTCTCTCTCTTTCTCAACTACGAGTGAGGCATCCCCAGAACAGCGACCCACCTCTGGAGTCTGCCCACCCGGCCAAATCTTTATCCTCTTTCTCTACCTTCAAGCAGGGTTCCTTTCAAGCTCTTTCCTGGACAGAGTGCTATGCTGGGCACAGCACAAAGTGAGTCAGAGAACAGGGCAGACCATCACAGAGTTTTACCTTTGAAAAAGGTCTGGAAACCAGGAGAGTAATATCTAGATGGACATCACATTAGTCCAGAAACAGGGAGTAAAACCTTTTCACTTGTCTCTGTTTCTTGGAGCCCTACTATTTCCATTGCATTGCTTGTTTGCTCAGCCAGTCATTTAACAAGGATTTATTGAGCACCTACTATGTGGCTGGCACTGTTCTGGGTTGTGAGGATACAGTGATGAACAAATAACAAGAAGATACCTATGAAAATTATAAAATAAGTAGTTACAAATGCCAAGGAGAAAAATAAAACAGGGAAGTCACAGCTTCTGTGGCTGTCTTTAAAAAAAAAATTAAAAAAGTAAATAAAGCAGAGGAGGGAATGGGAAGTGTGGCCAAATGTGAAATTTTAGGTAGGGTGGCCGAGAGAGGCTCACTGAGAAGAGGGCATTGGAATAAAGGCTTGCAGGAGGCGAGGGAGCAAGCACGTGACTGCCTCGGGAGGGGCATTCCAGGCAAGAGAGCAGCACCTCCGAATCTCGGAGTTGAGAATGAGCCTGGAGTGTTTGGAGAACACACAGAAGCCAGTGGGGCTGGAGTGGAAGGGGTGGGCGAGGAGCACAGTACCAGGAGAGGCAATGGGCCACACTGAATGGGGCCTTTGAGGCCATGGCAAGGGCGGAGAGAGCTGGGGAGGAGTCTAGGGAGGGTTTTGAGCAGAGGAGTGTTAAATCTGTTAAATGAACAAAAGAATCTGTTAAATGAACAAAAATGCAGGGCTTAAAGTGGTATCAGGGAAGGGCAGCTCTTCATCTGTTCCCCAGCTCTGAAAATGCCTCCCTGGGCCACGCGCCGCTTACTGAGGGTGGCGTTCATCTCTTGGTATCTTCTAAAGAGCATCATCGTGTGAAGTCCAGTGCTTGTGTCGCGCGTGAGCAGGGCGTCATAGATGCACTGTCTCTGTCCGTTACAGCTGGAGACCAAATTTTCATCCAAGGATTTGTTTCCCGACAGTTGGGAAAAGAAGACAGGGGTGAAGCTGGAGGGCAGATGATCGTTCTTCTTGCCAAGGAGGCTTGTTTCGTTGATTTTCCCTGTAACGCACGAGGGTGATGGTGGTTCAGGGTGGGACTCTGCCACATTTCTGCTGTGTCCTCCCTTAACCCTCAGGTTACGTGGCTCAGGGCGGGGGATGGGCCGTGCCAGGACAGAACAGCTTCCGAGTCTGGAAATCTCTGCTCCAGTGAATGAGGGCACCCATGTCCCCACCCACGTTCCCCATCCTCTCTTCCAGGTAGAGAGATGCAGGTGGCATGAAGATGGAGGGGACAAATCTGGGGTGGCATGAGAATCCTGAGGCCCTTACAAAGGCTGGAGGTCTGGCTCCAACAGGCCTGAGGGAGACAGCGTACCAGCTCCCTCATCCTGGCCTGCCCCATTGGCCAGACTCTGAGGCCCAGACTCACAGGTCATTCCGTAGTGAAAAAGCGCCTCCTCAGAGCTCCCTCGGGAAAAGGTGGAGCCATTGGGCATCCTGAAGTCGTCTTCTGGATTGTCATTCCAGACCCCTGAGGGACAGAGCAGGAGGTCGGCCACCCCGGGAATGTGGCCCTCCCCTCGCCACACTGGAGATGTAAGGAGTGGGCAGGCCCGGGGGAGGGGAGGACCAGGCCTCACACCCGCCCTAGGGAGGCGGCAGAAGAAAACACAGGAGATGGAGGAAGGGGAGAGGGATGTGGCAGGCAGGGGAAGGAAGGAAAGACATGAGGGATGGAGGGAGGAGGAGGGCGCTGCGCCCCCACCCTGCCCAGAGCTCTCCTTGGTGCTCCCTGGGAGTGGCAGGAGGAGGACAGGAAGTGAGCCTCAAAGGTGGCTGAAGAAGTCCCTCCCCGCTCCCTGGCTCTGTCCGTGCCCCTAAAGGATCTGCTCCAAGGAGGCTGAGAGAGGGAAACGCGGTAGGGGTGTCCGGGCCACGGGAGGCGGAGCTGCCCTCCCTCTGGGGTCTGAGCTCCTACCCAAGAGGCCCTCCGTGTGGTTTCGATACTCCTCTGGGAGGCTGGAGGAGGCGTGGAGGATGTTGGAGAGAGCGGTCACTGTGATGGCTGTCGTCCCATCGAAGCTTGCTGACACCATGGAGCCGTTGCGGGTCAGGAGGACCCCGGTGGCATTGAATATCTCCCGGTCTAGAACATTGGGAGGCGGGTGAGAGAGCAGCCAGCATCGGCAACCTGGAGGCCACTGCCTGGGCAGCAGTGAAGGCTCACGGTGCAGAGCAGAGCCTCTGAGGGCAGCTCTGGGATGTCCCAAGGGTGCTTCGCCTAGTGGCCCCGAACCAAATGCACATGCCACCCTCGAGGCCCACACCACCTCCTTCTTCCTGGGGACTGAAGATGGGGGCCATCAAAGGAGAGGCCTCAGTGCTGGAAGGAGGGGGGACATGAAGAGGGAAAGTATAATGCCCTCCTTCTGGGAGAAGAAGCTGTTCAGGTACAGCTGCTGAAGGGACAGCAAGGGACAGCCACTCTGCTCTGCCCAATGCTGCCACTTCCACCCGCTACACACTGCTCCCAGCACTGGGTACCCTGCTAAACTCCCACCTGGGGAGGCAGGAGATGGTGGCTGATGTCCCCAGCCTACCTTCTCCATCTTCATGCTTAGTCTCAAATGTCACAGTCTGGTTATTGAGCAGAACACGGATAGTGTCATTGGGCTCAAGGAACCATTGAACCTGGAAGGGAATTGGAGGAGGCGTAAGTCCGACCTGGAGGTGGAGCAGAAGCTGAGAAAGGAGGCTTCAGAGAGCGACTCAGACTAGAACCTGAGCCTGGGTGAAAAGGAGGGTGCTGCAGAGCGTGGCGATGAGGTTTTGCTCATTCACGCCTGTGGGCCAGGCTCTGTGCTGGGCATGCTTTTGGATCATCCCATTTAAATCTTACAACAGCCCTGTGGGGTAGGTAATATTATCTTCATCTTCCTATAAGAACACTGAGACACTGAGCTAAGTAGTTTCCTCAAAGTCAAACAGCTGGTACATGGTGGAGCCAGGACCCCAACCCTTCCATCTCTGGATTTACTCTTTGGACCATGACATCAGTGGGATGTGTCCTCTCTCCCTCCTGTCCCCCTTCCCCTTCCCTTTCTGTGTCCTCTTCCTCCTCCTGGGCCTCAATTTCCAGCTGAAGGTCCCTGTGGGGCTCTCTGGGGGGGGATGCAGAGAGGTCCTGGGTGCCCCTTGCTCACCGCGATGGGGCCCAGGCTGCTGGAGTGGTACTGAGCCGCAAAGGCAATGAAGTTGGTGGCCTGGACTGAGCCCGTCTGGGCAGTGCGGCCCTGCAGCAGGAAGGAGGAGTTTCTGTCCCAGGCCCTGACGAGCAGGAAGTCCCCCAGCCCATTGAAGGTGTAATTGGCACCATCCAAGGTAGTGATGTGGGGGTCCCCAAACATCCAGGCTAGAAAAAAGGCGATACTGCATTAGCATGGCAAACCATGGGTACAGCCTAAGATTTCCCACTGCCCATCAGGCAGGGCATTTGTCCAGGTGGACTCAAGCCCCAGGGAGATGTTTGTGGAGTATAGAATCCTCCCCCAAGGCCCTTGCACTTTCGTGTCCCCAACCCCTATTCCCACTGCTCCCCAGTGCCATGCACAAAAGCCCCCATTTGCCATCAGCTCCACACTGGAATCATCTCCTTCTTCCCTTGTGGCCACGGCTCTGCCCCAGGAAGCTGGTCCTCTCCTGGTCTAGCCCCCTGTCCCAGAGGCCACGAGGCTACCCCTCCCCGGATGCTCTGCCTGAGCCCTGACCCTCACCGGGCCGTGGGGGCCTGTATCCAGCACAGCCAACGCGGGGCCGCCGCAGCCAGTACTGGGTGCAGAGGTAGGGCTTGTCATTCCAGCGGCAGCACCAGTCCTGCGGCTCCAGTTCCCAGTCTGTGAAGAACAGCGTGTTGAGGGAGGCGGAGGACCTAGATGACTGGCTGGAAGGCTTGGTAGGGCAGGATGGTCTCGGTGGCGAGAGTGTGGCTTCAGAACCCTGCACACCTTGGTTCCAATCCTGCTCTGCTCAAGGACCTTCGTGCTGGACCAGGTACAGTTTCCCTTGCAGGCACGTTGGGGCCATCGTGCAGCAGGGCATGGTAGGATGGTAGGACCTAAGCAAACTTCCTTTCTTGAAGAATGGGTGTCAAGTCCCACTGCTCTCCAAGTGCTGGGAGTGGGGAGGGCGTGGCTGATGGTCTGGGGACAATGGAGACTGCCACAGCATAGGGAGGAGGGTGGGAGGACACACACCCCTCCACTACGAGCTCTCTCTAACTGCCTTGGAGGGTCTCTGCGGGAGCTGTCTTCCCCCACACAGCCTGCCAACCTGGGTCTTGAGGGATGAGGTCGGATTAGGCCCTCCCCCCTTGCCTGCAAAGCTGCCCCCACTCGGGACCACGTGGAGATGGGGCAAGGGGCACTCAGCCCTAAGTCCTTAGGATGTCAGCTGGTGGGGATGTTGGAAGCTGTTTAACCACAAGATCAGGAAATTGAGGCCCAGAGAGGGGAGGAGCTGGGAAGGAGTGGGGACAAGAGGCTTCATTCTGAGGGCCCCACGGCTTGGCTGGGAAGAGCAGCAGCCTCTAGAGAAGGTGGGGTTGTACACACACGTACCAAACTGCCAAGGGCTCTGCAGTCTCCAGCCTTCACGAAGCTCTCCCCAGGGCCCGTAGCTGCAGCACACGCCTCCCTGCCAGGAGGAGAAGCGGCACAGCTGCCTGCCGCTCCAGTCCCACCTGTCTGCAACACGTGTAGACATACTCAGGCCCAGGCTGGGGGGTGCCTGGGGTGAGGGTGGGAACAGGGCAGGGGGTGATTCTGGGGAGGGGCTGAGGGCACCTCAGAGAGGACAGGTCAGGTGTGAGCAGAGAGGATGGTGGGAGGGCTTGTGGGGGACAGGAAGGAGGTGTCACCTATGCTGACGGGCTGGAATCGTAAGTCCCATAGTCCCTGCTGCCAGGAGCAAGGGCAGGAGATCTGGTTCCTGCCCCTCCTGGGCCACTGAGGTGAGCTCTTCAACCACTGCAGGCACTTGAGACGGTAGTTGGGCCTTTCCTCCCTGTGTAGCCTGTAGACCTGCAGCCCCTGGAGGCCTGGAGTAGCAGGGGAAGAAGAGGTTATCCTGGGGCCTGGGGCTGCAGGCTCATAAATGCACCCCTATGCCACTCCCTGCCTCTCTGGACAGCTTCCAGGGATGGGACACAATTCAGATTGGCAATGATTCCTCCCCAAAAGCCCATTTGAGGTACACTCCAAAGCCCTCAAATCTTGTATCTTGTACAAACCCTGGTACAAGTGCTGGGTGAGGAGGTCTTACCTGTACCCAAATCAGAGCCAAACCCTGGCTCTGACCCACCCACCCTCTTCCATCCTGTCACTCTCAGCTCCAACGCCTTCTAACCCCTCACTCGGTCCCTCCTCATGCACCCTCTATCTCAGCCAGGGACACCACCATCCACCCAGGCACACCATCAAGCACTGGCCCTTCACCTTTCATGCTCCCTGTCCCTCAGCCCAGACTCTGCAGTGGCCAGGGCAGCCGGGACAGAGGCCGATGCCCACAGGCCAAGAGGGAAGCCACAGAGAAGTTGGCATGTGAAGCAAGGGCCTGCTTCAATACGATGAGGCTGGGGAATGCCTCTTCTGGGCCCTGACACCACCTTTGGAAGGGTGAAGTAAGTGGGAGAAGAAAGCTTAAAGGGGGGTTGAAGTTTAAATAGACCTTAAATTCATTGTAAGTTACCTACTGCATACCCCAGCTGCATGGATGAGAAAGGAGTGCCAGAGGCCAAGACCCAACAGGATATAGTGTGTGAGATTTGACCCCGTACTCATACAAGTGAAAAAATTATCAAGATAACTACAATTTAAGGTTTTGAGGAGAATAATCATTGTTTATGATTATGTGTTCATGGATCTTCTCCACAACGTCGTGGTGTCAGGAGAAACATCAAATACTCTTCCCCAGCACACACACCCTCCCCATCCTCACATGCCCCTGGGCCACAAGATGGCACCCGTGATTTGACTTAGCTTATGTTTCTGATTACCAAAAGTTTTTGCCACAGAATAGAACTGGATTTATACCTCACAGTTTTCATGACTAATTTCTAATGCTAAAGCGTCCTTTGTCTTATCACATTTTGGAAACTAATGTGTTTCCCTTTCGAGCCTCTGGACATCACACTGAGTCTTGGATAGCACGGCTCCTGATATGAAAGTCTTTTTACCAGAGTGAAAGCTCTTCGACAGCAAACCTAGCTGGTCTTTTTCTTTTATTCATTCTTCTGGCAGTTGGCACAGTGTCCAGCACGCAGCAGGTGCTGAGTAAATGATGACTGAGTGAACGCCAGACCTCTGGAGCTCCTCTTGGTAATTCCCATAAGGGATCTCGTCTGGGTTCCCACTCCAGCTCTGGGACAGGACACCTGAGTATTGTCCGAACTGCCCCTTCAGGCCCCTGCCTCCCACAACACCCCATCCTCACTCCCAAGACCCGGCCCCCACGGAGAGCCCTCCTGAGCCTGCACCTCCTGGGACGTGGCAGGTACTAGCTTAGCCCGGCAGGACGTCCTAGGTGCGGGATGCCCCTGGAAATGGTGGAGACGCCGCCAGCTGCCTTCTAGGACTCCCATGGTGCACAGAGGGAGAACAAAAGAGGGCCTGAGACCAGCTCAAGAGTGACAAAGTGACACTTTTACCTGAGTTGGAATCCAGGAATTGGTCTGGACGATACCTCTCCCACAATGGCTGGGACATCAGCGGGCTGTTTTCAAAATACCCGTCTCCACTGCAGGCAAAGGGAAGACCCTCAGGCCTCTGCCACAGCACAGGCTCTTTCCCCCCGGTTGAAAGTTATGAATTCATTTGGCTCGTCAGTCAGACGGCAGCTGGCCAGCCAGTTGCTCAGTCAGCGGGTCAGCCGGTCAGCCAGCCCGAGTCTCTGAGCCCAACACCAAGCAGGAGAGGGAGGAGATGGCTGGGCAGGTCAGGAGGCTCTAACTTATCTCGCATCCGATCATCTGATTGCTAACTGCAGGAAACTGGCAGGTCCACCTGGTCATGAGACAGGAGTGTGAAAACAACAAGAGTTCAGGCCTCCCATTTGTTTGTTTCCCTTAAACCAGGGATTGTAGATTGTAGAGGGACATGCTGTGGGGGACAATATATTGTGATGGTTAAGAGCTGGTCTCTGGAGTTAGGCAGTCATGGGTTCAGCTGCTTACTAGCTTGGTGACCGTGGGAAAGTTACTTAACCTCTCTGATTCTTAAGTTTTCACATCTACGTAAAAGGGACTACAGCAGCATCTACCTCACAACATTGTGAGGATTAAATGCAGTGATATTTGTAAATCCCTCAGAATTGAGTGAAGCCTTGTTACAACAGGCGCTGCCACCGCCACCACCACCACTGCCATCCTCAGTGGTAGGTCCGGGCACTGCTCCAGGACGGAGGAAGCCCTGGCGTGGTAGCGTCACCCCAGGTGTATGCTGCAGGGCAGTCACTCCTGACTTTCTCCCTCTCTGACACCAGCTAGATGACACACACTTACGTGACACCTCCCTTGGGTGTACTTGGATGGTGTGAAATTCCTCGCTAGTTGGGTCATTCCACTCCTTTCTCCGTCATAGCATGGCAAAAAGCTAATGAAAGCAATGTCATTACAGGGCAACCTGAACAGAACTGTTTGCGGCAATTACCAGGAACAAAGTGTGACCTTCACGACTGATTGTCACACATCAGCATATGGGCACATATGACTGAGAACTGTTGTGTCAGAGCCTGAGCTACCTCCACACACCAGGAACCCACACTTCAACTGCCCACAGCCCCCACCCTGCCCTCCCTCTTCGCCACTGGCTCCATATAAGCTGCCAGGTGCCCCTGGGTAAGCGGGTCATTCTCAGGAGGGCAGGAAGGCAGGTTCCAGCCTCTGAGGTCTGGATTCAAGTCCCCACTTTGCCACTTCTTAGCTCTGTGACTTTAGACAAATTGTTTATCTATTTGTTTCTCTGTTTCTTTATCTGTAGAATGGGGATAATAGACAGTATCTACCTCATCGGGTGGTTGTGATAATCAAAGGAACTAATTAATGTACAAGAAGTACTTAGCGTAATCAATCTTGGCATGTATTACAATATTTGAGAAGTCAAGAGATGCCAGCTAGTCTTAGTGGAAACCAGGGAAGTCCAGGCTCTGGGAATTATTGCAATGCACAGGGATTGGGATGGGAACGAGAATGGCAGGATGAGTGCAGGAGCTTGTAATCTGAAATAGCAAGGTGCATGGCCCCAGCAGAAACTGGAGCCAGTGTGTGTCGGAAGCAGCAGCAAGGACAATGGCGCCTTGTCCCAGGGATGGGAGTGCGTGTGCAGCGAAAGCCCACTCTGCCCCTCTTCCTGCCATCTGCTTGGCACTGACAGCCCCTCTCTTCCCACCTGGAGAAGCCCATGAGGACGGAGGTGCCTGGGCGCTGGGTCACGTCCCACTGCATACTGCCACTCTGGTAGAGGAACAGGGTGTAGGACCTGCTCCCATCCGTGGAGAGGATGGCCTGGTAGGTGCTGGTCTGGGGGTGGGTAGGAGACGAACACAGGATGCCTGTGAGAGACCTGGGGTCTCCTCCCTCACGTCCCCCCGCCTGTCCCACACGCCTGTCCCAACACACACATCACCTATTCCTGGGCTGTGCAGAGCCTAAAATGCATGGGCCTAAAATGCTGGCAAGTTTGGGATCGGTTCAGGCAGCTTTCCTCCTGGGTGGCAAAGCACTTACTATGGGGGACTTGCCTTTTTTGTGACTCTTTTCCCAGGAGGGGAGATAAAGGGCTCCAGGTTACAATCCAATCAGAAGAGGGTTTGTTAGAGAAAGCTACAGGAACCTGAGAGATTAGCCAAGACACCAGAGACAGGGAGAGGCTTAATTAGCTCCCTTGGGGACATTTAAGGACATCGTCCAAATTGTCGCCTCCACCAGAAGAGCATGGAGGACCTGCAGCTGGTGAGACTGGAGGTTCTCTGAAGGCACATGCCTTGTCCAAAATAGGTCATCAATGAACTTCTGCTGAGTGAATGAGGAATAAGTGGCTTTAGACCAGACACGAGGAAGAACTTTGCAGCTGTAAAACCTTTGAGTCCTCAGAGGGCAGGCTGAGGAGACTGCGGTGCACCCCATTCCCACTGGGCGGCACTGTGGTTAAAACCAGAGCTTGGAGTCAGAAAAACCTCCATTCCAAATGTGGCTTTATCATTTGCTACCTGGGTGACCTTGAGCAAGTCATTTATCCTTCCTAACCATTGTCTTCCTCATGTCTAAAATGCAGATAATATTTACTATCAGGTTGAGCTAGTAATATACGAAATTGCCAATAGTCAGATATTTCTGACTTACAAAAATGCCATATCCTATGTTTCAACCTAACAATACCTAGTTTGCTGGGCTGCTACAAGGTCAAGTAAGTGAACAGCTGAGGCAGGCCTGGCCCATGGTGAGTGCTCAGCAAACGGTGGCAGCGGCAGGGGTTGCCATAACCAGCAATGGTTCCGGAGAGGCTTTTAGAAGAGTAGCCCCTGCCCAGGATTCTGGGATGTCTGACTCCCAGATGGCTCACAGGGAGCTGTCCGTGGGTCCACTCACCCTGAAGGTCCAATCTGCGGGGTAGGCGGGGGCATTAACCCACGTGACCTTCAGGGTCCACCTGGCTTTGTAGTCCCAGGAGTTTGTGAACTTATTAATCAAAGACTCCACCTGCTGGACTAGTGGGTAATGTTCATCATAGAGTGTCACATATTCCTAGGAAAGGAAGGCAGATAAGAACAAGGAAATGAGGGCCCACTCACCACCCCCGAAGGACCCCCACTTTCTGCTTGGGGATCCTGTTCACTCTAGTCCACCCCTGTTGCCCATCCCTCCCTGTCCCAGGCCTGCACTTTTACGATTAACTCTTCTTATCAGAAGCTGTGGATTCAAATTTGGGCTGCAGGAAAACCTGCAGCGTGGAATGGAAGATCCTGGCGCAGAAGTCGGAGTGCTCTGGACTGGAACTCACGCATGTCTTAGCTCAAATTGGCTCTCTCAGAGCCACTTGTGCCCATTTCTTCCTCCCCACGTCTGCCTGGTGGCTCCTTGAGGACAGGCATGAGTCTCTTGATCTTTGGAGCCTCTACAGTGCCTTGTTCACGGCAGGGCACAACACGCCTTTGCTGCAGCAGCTTTCATTGCATGCGTCCACTGGTTGGAATTATTGACCCAACGCAAGAGCACAGGAGGGCCCTGCTTGACCCGTTAGGATAGACCCTTTACAGCCTTGTTTTAAAAGCAAATGCTGAATTGCCAACCCCTATCCCTGTCCCCGGCAGGTGCTCTCGGGGTTGGGCGTTCCTGAGTCTGTTTGATGTTCCTTAATCCGTAGCCCACGGCAGCCCAGGCTCTGACAGCAGTACCACGTGCGACGCCCCCCATACAGCCCTTTGTCCCTCCTGCGGCTGCTGGTGGGTCCCACTGCCAGGCTGTGAAAGGCTCACCTGGTAATATGTGGTTCCCCAGCCGCTGGAGAAGTCAGCATCATCCCAGAACGGAGCCACCAGGGCCACAGGGTCCCAGCCCGTGAAGCGTCTTTGGAGTGGGTGGGGGTAGGAGAAAATCTGGTAGTCTGAGTCTGGGAAAATGATCTGGCCATTATCTGTGAACTGAGCACAGGGTTTTAGCATTCAGGGAGAGAGGTGGGGAGGAGACGTCCCAGCCTTGGGCGGGCTCCTTCGAAGTGTGACCCCAAGGTCCTCTCTGGGTAGAACTGTACAGATGTCAACAATCCCTGGAAGGTCATCTCGTCCATCTCCTGTCTGGGAGAGCCCTTTACATAATAATCTCACACAAATCCCCTTCACCCTCAGGCCATTCCTCGGGTCCCAAGGCGGTGGGTTTTGTCCCACTTTGGTGATAGACCCCTGGCTGTAGACCAGCCACTCACAGGACACACACCTCCAGGTGCGTCCCCTCAGCCCATCCTGAAGCTTGTGACACAGGTCCAGATGGGGCTAAAGGGACTGCTACCCTCACCCCACTGCCGTGCTGTCCTCTCCCAGTGTGTCCTGACTGAGCCCCTCACTGCGGACCACAGGGGCCAGGACGGCCCTTCCCACTCTGCCCCAGGGGACATGGACCAGGGGACCAGAGGTTAATCGTGGAAAATGGAGACGGCACAAACCAGGCAAGTTTCCCCGAGCATAGCTTCTTACTCATGAAAGGCCCGGAAAAACATCAGTGAGCTGGCGGGGCCCTCGACCGGGGTAGAGACACGTCCACACGGGCGGGGAAGCCCTGCCTCGCTCCCTGTTTTCCTCAGCGGAGCCCTGACGCTAACGAAGACTGTGGGGGTAAGCGGGGCGCCTGCAAAGGGGCCTCTATGCTCCCTTCCTCTTGGTCTCGGGGCGTCTCGGAGCTGGGGAGAGAAGCAGGCCCGGGGTGCACAGGCCACGGGTCCTGCGCCGGGCCGGGGACTCACGTAGAGGGAATCCCGGAGAGAGGAGCCGAGGGGGAAGCCGATCTGGGGCTCGAAGAGCGGTGAGGTGAAGTCCTCGGCCCTCCTGACAAACTTCCGGTCTCCGACGTGCTGCCCGTAGCGGAAGAGGAGAACGCCTGGGCCCGGGCAAAGGACAGTAGGAGGTCCTCATGGGCCTTGGCCTTCGTCAGGGCCGGAAGGGACCCCTGGAGCTTCCCCTGAGCTGCTCCTGAGCCTGGGACCCTCCAGGTCTCCTCTCTCCCTCTCCGCTCGCATTTAACCCATCTCCTCGTTTTACTCCCCAACCTGGGACTCTCATCCTTCGCCAGCTTGGAGAAAAACAGGCCCTGCTGTCAGAACACCAACAAATATCCTGCATCTGTTCTGGTAGTCACAATTCTTTCAAGGGTTAAAAGACAACAGTCCGATGCAGTGAAGATTAGTAATTGAAAGACCTTTCCATAGAATGAGACTTGTTTCCTAAGGTGATATTTCTCCAGACAAACTTGAAGACCCAGTAGAATTTGTCCAAGGGCCCCCTAGAGGTCCTTGGGCTCCGGTTTGAGAAAACTTGTCCTAAATATTTCTCAGCGGGTCTCTTCCCCTCCATAGGGGCGGCCACCGGCTCCTTGGCGCCCTCACCTGGTCTTTCTTGGAATAGCGCAGGGTTGCTCCCCGGCCATCCCGGCCTCCTCACTCACGCCCTGCAAATTCTCCCACCCTAGTGCCCTTTGTAAAATGCAAATCTAATTGTGTCCTCCCTGGTTCCCCTTACCTACAGGAGTCCCCTGCACATCACTCACCACTCTCCTCCTTACCTTCAGCCACCTCAAATGCTCTCCTCTCAATGAGGCAATGGGCCTACTTTTCACTTCCAGACCTTTATTCCAGTGGTTCAGACCCTCCTCCCTGCCTGGGGTGCTCATCTTCCCCTGGCTCCTATTCACTCTTGCCAGGAAGCCTCCTGTTTACCCTGAACCCACCCCCACATCCCACAGGGGCTTTCCATCGTGTGAGGTTAATACCCTGGGCTTATTCCTCTATCTGCATCTAGCTGGACAGTTGATCTGGCCCTTGCTGAGTGGCATCACGATAATTTCTCTATGTCCAGCTCCTAGTTCAGTGCCATGCTCAAAGCCAGCACTCAGCACCCGACTCTGGTGCTGTCTCACTATCCCCTAGAAGGTCCTTCTTTTTTTTTTTTTTTTTTTTTGAGACAGAGTCTCACTCTTTTGCCTGGGCTAGAGTGAGTGCCATGGTGTCAGCCTAGCTCACAGCAACCTCACACTCCTGGGCTCAAGCAATCCTTCTGCCTCA